ATTGAAGTTGATTTTTTGTTTTTGTTTTTGTTTATACGTCGCTTGTGCCAATTGTGAAAAATTTGCCGAGATGTGTTATTGTGGTTCAAGAATTTGTGTTTGGCAAATTAGGGCACGATTGAGAGTAGCAGATTGAATATTAGGGCATGAATTGTATTTTTTTTTTTGACACAGGGACCTTCCGGTTTCCGGATCCAAAGGGGAACCGACTAATCCGGAATCGAGCCGGGTAAGACCACAAGGGCGTAGGGCATGAATTGTATTTTTTAAACCATCGTTTAGCATGTTGTTCTATGAAGAAGAAACAGAGAAGAGGAAAAATCTGATATGGTGTCTGAAAAGGTCGGCATAATTTCCATCCTTTGTGTACAAGGGCAAATATGTCATTTCATGATATATTATCTTATCAGAAAATGTCATCACACAAAGTAAACAACCGATTGTTTGCTGATATGTAAAGTGCCCTTGATTAAATTGTCCAATCCTGACATACAAAGTAAACGAGGCTTGAATAGATTAGAACTTGACAAGCGTGATACCTTTGCCAGCCAGTCCCGCGGCCCCACCCGGTCAAGTGATGGGTCGGGCTTTAATTTTCTAAGCCAACTAGAAAGCGGGCCTAAAAAGGTCAAACCACGGGATAGGGGGTCGGCCCGTTCATATTAAAAACAATACAATTCTCCGGTCTATTGGATTGGTATGAAAATAAAAATCCCTGAAATTCAGACCTCATTCGTCGGCCGCCAGCCACACTTCCAGTTGCCGACCGCCCGCCCACCCGTTCCCGGCAACACGCAAAAAGCCAATTTTTCTCTTGGGGTTTTGCATTTTTGTATCCGAAAACCCCTCCGGAGGTTAAATGGCGTCGCTTCCCGATGCGGACTCAATAGCAGCTTCTAGCGGGGCCTCAGAAAAGCTCAATCTTCCAACGCTGCAATCCAAGATGAAATCCGACCCGGAAGGCTATATCTCGGAGCTAAGCCTTGTTTACAATCAATTCAAGTCATCTCTTGAGCTCTATCAGCAGCAAGCCGCTTTGAATTTCACCTCGATGAGTGGAGTAGCCGCTGATAACGCCGTTGCTAAGGATTTGGGTGATCGAGCCATGTTTTTGGCCCACGTTACTCCTTCATACCCGGAAGAATTGGTTCAGTTTCCCAATGAATTGGTTCATTTTCTCAAGTCTTCGGCTCAGAACCTTCCATCGCGTCTTAGGGTGCCTGTGACCCAAGCTCTGATTCTTCTGGTCAATCGAAAGGTAGGCTTTTCAGGGTTTGTTGAGATAGTATTGATCTGCATTAATGTCGCATCGTGTTATAGATGTTATGGTTGTGTTTAACTGTGCAATATCCTAATTTTCCATGCGTTGTTACATGTTTTCATTGGCTCTACAACACTGGTTCCCCCTTTAGTTTCATGTTTTAGCTGATTTCTTTTGTGTCAATGTGCCATTTTGTGTTTTATTGTAGGAAAATATGCGTGTAATTGGAGAAATTGGATGCATAGAAAAGTAATGGTGGAATATGCTTGAGTAATTTGAGACATCGGATGTATACAAATAAAAGGTGTTTGTGATATTACATAAGGATCATCATAGTTACTGATTGATTCCATAGGCTTTACAGAAGTCTCAGTGCATAATGCATAATACTCAATACAGGTTGTAAACTTTATATCACTGTTTGCTTTGCCAGGAAAAACAATCTGCGTGTATTCTGTTTCTATGCCCCATAATCAACGACCATTATATATATATTTTTTTATTTTTTGTATTCAGATAATTGATATCGTGGACACACTTGCGGTATTCATGGAGCTCCAGACAGTTGGGGATAGGACGCTAAAAACTCTGGCGTTTTCTCATGTTATTCATAGCATCAGACGCATGAACCAGAAGCATAAGAATGATCCTAGAAACAAGGCACTTCAGAGTATTTTGTTTGAAATGCTGCAGGTATATTGATCTGTTTGTTAAATCCTATTTGTTTAGTTTTATGGTATCTAAGGTAGTGAAATTTATGGCAAATTAGCAAGAGGATGAAGCAAAAGCAAAGAGAGCACTTATGACCTTGTGCGATCTTCATCGCAGAAAAGTTTGGTTTGACGAAAGGACAGCAAATGCTATATGCACAGCATGCTTTCATGCATCTCCAAGGTCCTTGTTCTATAGCTCGTTTTGGTATAATTGCATGAAGTGTATCACCTCTCGTTCTGGCATCTGATATATGTATGCATGTTAATTTATCAGGATCATGATTGCTGCCTTGTCATTTCTTCTTGATTATGAGAAAATTGAAGGTGATGATGATACTGATGATTCTAGCAGTGAAGACGAGGCAGTGACCCCACAGCCGCATGTTGTACTGAGTAAAGAAGCTATCTACAAGGTTTAATGATTGTCCCTGTATCTTATCATATCTCTTCTGTTGCATATGAATAGGGAAACTGACTTTGATAATGACTTGAATAGCCAAGTGGCTTAATACAACATTATACTGTCAACTGTCAAGCACTTGACTTCTGTTTGTGAGTTCTTTTTCTGTATTTGCACCTCTGTTTTATCTAGGACTGGTTAAGTTATATACCGCGTCCTTGATGTATGCATCTTCTATAAATATCTTTCATGAATCTGTTAGAATTGGTTGCTAGGGATTTGTCCCGAGTCTGGTTGGTAATGCAACCAGGCTCCTTTTTTATATCTTCTTTTGTGGATGTGAATATCTCATTGTTTAAATATTTAACTTTGCATCAGGCAAACCACAAAGGCACAACATCAAGCAAAAAGAAAAAGAAGGCAAAACTGCAGCGCGTTGTACGCAGCATGAAGAAGCAGCAGCGACTATCATCTGAGAACACTAATTCGAATTACTACTCACCACTAAATCATTTGAAAGACGCGCAGGTTTTTACTTTATTGTTATTTGTTAGCATATTGTGGTTTAAAGTGCATCAAAGATCTGAATCAATATCCTGCATGCAGGGCTTTGCCGAGAAACTGTTTTCACACTTGCAATCCAGCAAGGAACGGTTTGAGGTGATTATCTTCAGCGTATCACTTTTGACATGATGTCCGTTGTTTATTCCTTGGAGAATTGTTATATCGAGCAACATATGATATATTAAATTCGATCTTGTTACAGTCAATTTGAATACGCTACCATGGTTAGGAAAACCAAAAGAACATAAGTAATACAATGCATAATTAAGTACGGATTGCAGAATCATCTTAAAAATTCTCGATCACATGACTTCAGAAGTCATTAGCATGTACAATGACAAGACCAAACTGAAGCACGAGTCAATAACCAAGCAAAGTTGTAAACCACCAAGGAGAATAAATACAATGACTTCATCAAGATTCAAGTACAACCAGCCTGGTAGGCCGGGATAGAAGCTGGTTAGGTCGATGGTAGCAATGGGAAACTATCTGTGAACCTAAACCCTAGTTTATGCGTTCTCTTCACCGGGATGTGCATTTGAGGATGGGAGGCATATTTTATTTTATAAAATCATTTTAAAAGTGTTAAAGAGTGACCTAGCACTACTTTATAATTGTCTAAGTAAAGTTTCTAATGTTTTGTTGGCTGAGGCTTGCCCCATAGGCACTTCAAGTGATGTAAGGTGCCCTGGGCTGTTTCAATGGCCTCCGCGGAGGCAGGCCATGATGTGGAATTTAAAACTATGTATCATGATTTGTGGTTGAGTCTCAGTTATGTCATGGTGGGGAAGCCTTATAATTTTGTTAAATAATGAATTGTTGGAAGAATGATAACATCGTATAATTTTAGGGAAAAAACTACCTACTCATCCGTACTATCATGCTCTTTTTAATTTACCATATTGGTTTTTTTTTTTTTTTTTTTTTTTNNNTTGACAATCCACCATTGAAACTTTTGCATGATTTTCACTGGGAAGTCCTTGGTATGTCAAGCTTTTCTCTACAGCCAAAGCGGACTGCTGACAGTGGCAATTGCAGCGGCTTTTAGTTATTTAAAAACTCTTTTGTTAAGTATTACAATTATCTGATTCTTTATTGCAGGTAAAAATGATGATGCTTAAAGTGATTGCTCGAACTATTGGCCTTCACCAATTGATTCTATTAAACTTTTACCCTCACCTTCAGAAATATGTCCAGGTATGTTAATATATTACTCTTCTCAGGAGTCGAACGGTTTTTATGTGTGCTAAGTTTGCTTATTCTCAATTGTAGCCACACCAACGTGATGTGACAAATCTACTTGCGGCTGCTGTTCAGGCCTGTCATGACATGGTAACTTCTGTTTGGTTAAGTTATTTTCTTCATTTAATTTTGATATCCTTTTGTGGGTTCTTAATCTTGAATGAAAATACTTCTCCATTCTGTTAAAGAGTGATACCTAATAAGTGTGTGCTTGAATGTTTTGTACTAGGTACCACCCGATGCAGTTGAGCCGTTGTTTAGGCAGATTGTTAACCAATTTGTTCATGATAAATCACGCCCAGAGGTAGTGTTATATTTGTTGAGATATATTCCTTCTCTCGTGAGTGTTTCGTTGATTACCTCAGTTATTGTTCCTCAGGCCATCACTGTTGGACTCAATGTAGTACGTGAAATATGCTTACGCATGCCTTTGGTATGCTCCTTTTACCACTATGTAGCATGTCTTTAGCCTCTGTGCTTCCATTTTGTATCCTTTTTAGTTTTTACCATGTTGTTGGTTCCTTTACTCACAGTTGATGACTGAAGATCTGCTGCAAGACCTTGTGTTGTATAGGAAATCAAACGAGAAATCAGTTTCGTCAGCTGCTCGTTCACTTCTTACTTTGTTTAGAGAGGTAACCTCTTCACTTCTCTCATTTTGGAAATTGTTAGTTCTGTCATTTACACATAACTGACAATTTTTCTTGCAGGTCTGCCCTTCTTTATTGGTCAAGAAGGATAGAGGAAGGCATGCCGACCCAAAGTCCAGACCCAAAGCCTTTGGTGAGGTGCATATTCCTAGCAATATCCCAGGTGTTGAGTTATTGGAACAAGATGATGACATTAATAATAGTAGTAGTGATGAGGAGGACATAGTGAATAGGGATGTTGCCTCCACAGATGATGAAAGTGACAAAAGTGTTGGCACTGTTGAAGAGGATTATAATAACAGTGGTGAAAGTGATGGTGATTATGGTCATTCAATGGATGATGACAGTGCCGAAGATGATGAAGTCTCCGAGGAAGACAATAAAAATGTTGATGGTAATGGTGCAAGTGAAATAAGTGATGATGAAGAGTGTGAGGAATTATTATCAGATGAAGAGCACGAGGAATCCAGTTTGAAGAAGGGTGCCGATGGCAATGATGATAAGTTGAGAGCAAAGAAAAGGAAGCTTTCTGATTTCCAGGGACAGCTGGATGCTGCCAATAACAGTCTTCGTGCTTTGAAGAAATTAGCTGGAGCAAGCGGGAATGCCTCATCCAACATGGATGATGGTATTCTTTCTAATGAGGACTTCCAAAAAATAAAAGAGTTAAAGGTGTCTTCATAATGTTCTGAATAGAAGTTTCTTTTTAGTGTGCAATTTCAGTTTGTGGTGCAGTTTATTAATTTCTCAAGGACCTTTATATTTAGGCTAAGAAGGCGGCCAAGGTCTCATTAACCCAGCATGGTTTCAAGCTTCCGAGCACAAACGAGCTTAGCTTGAAGAAGGTTGATGCCACCAAACTCGAGGTAGGGGTTTCCCATTCAGTTAGGTCATCTGTGTTAGTTCTTCTAGAGAAGCTAAATGGTGATTTGATTATAATACTAGAAATTAGAATTGACTGAAGTGTTGCAAAAAATGGATATGAGAAATTTAAACCCTGTCTATGAATATGTTTTATAATGTACCCTCCTCTTATTTCAGGCTCACATACGGAGGAAGTTGACAAAAGAGGAAAGGTTGGCAGTGATTAGGGAAAGACGTGAGGAAAGAGGGAAATATCAGTCGAAAACTGCAACAAAACAGAAAAAGGTATGATCTTTCTAGCTTTTGCTTGTATCCATTTTTGACACCACTTTCTTCAAATCTCTTTATCTGGCCCCACGATTTGGTTTTATTTTGATTATACTGGAGGGGGTGAACGTGACTTGATCGTTAGCAAGTGTTTAACGACTGCGTGTTATTATTATTGGACAGACTGGTCCTGGTGGTTTAAGTAATAAGCAGAAAGAACACAAGAAAGCTATGCCTCTAGCTGCAAAAAGGGCCAAGATTGCTAAGTCTCGCCAAGAGAAGCATAAACAAAGCAAACGGTCGGGCAAACAGTTCCGTGGAAGGAAAGCATGGAAATGATCTCCACTCTTAATTTTGGTTTTGGAAAAAGATGAGGGTTAGTAGTATTTATATTTGTGTTGGCATCATTACACTGATTTTCAAAAATCAGATTTTTATTTATTATTATTATTATTATTATTATTATTATTATTATTATTATTATTATTATTATTATTATTTTATGTGGGAATAACTAAAAAGAAAAGCAGGAAGTGTGATTCAGTTAGGCTTGTAAACAAATTAAATTTTTTTGATTCGTTCGATATTCGAACTCGATGTTCGTAATTCGAATTCGATTCGAATACGAATAATGTTATATATTCGAAAGTTAAATGAATCTAAATTCGAATTTGTAGATAATCGATTCGTTAACAATAATTATATAAATTTCATCAGTGTACATTTTGTTTATAATATATTCCTAGTATGTTTATAACATAAAAAGTAAAAACATCCTAAATTAACAATTTTTCATAAAAATATATGGAAAAATAAAAATTATTTTTGTAATTATTAATATTTTAAATATTATATTTTGTTGAAAACGAATTTCGAATCGAATCAAATATGTTCGAATATTCAAACGAATTGAATACGAATCAGAAAATGAGTTCTCGAATACAAATTCGAATCTTTGAATATTTTAACGTATCTGAGTCGAATATCTTAGTATTCATTTTGATTCGATTCGTTTACAACCCTAGATTCATCGTAAATGCGAAAAGGTGAAGTTACACCAACAAAACAACTCGTGTCCGTGAATTGATCGTTTCATATAACATCTCTAGTCAAACAACTACTCGCAAATCAAATTGAGGAAAAACGTACTCCACCGAGATTATTTGGCTTTGTTTCTTCATCACCAGAGAATGAAAATTTTATGGGAAAAA